AGGGGCATTTGCCTCCCTGTCTGGCTCGGGAAGGGATTTCTCCATGAGACAAGCTCTGGTCTCTGTGGGACCTGCAGGGTCAGTGGCAAGGGGATGGGTCTTGCTCCAAAGGCATCCTAGCTCAGATCCAGCTTACTCCAAACTCAGCCAGCAAAATTATTCTCTGAAAGAGCAACAGTTGTAAGTCAGGAAGTTGTTGGTGTCCCTGGGGTGTGAGCTGAGCTGTTCTGGCCCTGGTGCAGGGGTGAACTCCAGGGGGCTGTGCTGGGTCCCTGCTCTCAGGTGTGAGCTGAGCTCTCCCAGCTCCCAGCTGGGAGTGACTATCTTGGGGATTGGAGCCCAACCCTCGGGCTGGAGGGCTGGCCACAGCCACCATCCTCTCCCCATGTCACAGTGTGGGAGAGCAGGGATGCTCCAGGCACCCCTGCCAGCACCTTTCATCGCTCCAGTGCCACGAGTGTGCTCAGCACTTGAAGGAAAGTTGGTGTGAGGTACCTGGGCAACTGCCTGGCTCTGTGTGTGTGGGTGGGCAAAAGGTCAGGGAATGTGAAAACAGCAACAGGCTCTGAGAATGGAAAAAGCTGATCCCAAGTGTCCTCTTGGGCAGGCAAAATCCAGAAAAGTGCCTTCTCCTGTCACTGCAGAAAATAGCTTGAGCGTGACTTGGTCAGGGTTTGTTTGCTGCAGTGGGACAGGAGGGATTTACACTCCACCCACCGCCTCGGGGGCCTCTCCCCATCCAACACAAAAATAGGCTGATCTTTCCAAAAGATGGGGCGGGCGGGCTGGAAAATGCCATTCCTGCAGGGACCTGCCATGCTCCTGCCCCGGGAGAGGATGTGGCACTGACTGTGGCTCTCGGCAGGCCTGGGCAGGGATGCAGGGGGAGAGCCCAGCATCGTGCCACGCTGTGCCCCACTGCCCTGGGAGCCACAGCCTTTCGTGTGCCCACGTGCGTATGCTCAGCGGGAGCGTTCCCTCTTTGTGTCTCCTGAAGCTCAAGGAGCTCATGTTTTTCCCTCCCAAAGAGCATTTGAAGCAGA